CTTTCGAGCAAAAACAATAGGAAATTCACCAGTAGTTAAATTACGTTGCGAAACATTTCCAAAAGATTTGGAAATTTTTGTATTAGATTCAGGTGCAAAAGTAAATGTCAACAGTTATAACGCATCAAAGAACAGCACAGAAATTAATTGTGGTAATACAATTGAATTAGAAGAAATAGCCCCACAGAGAATATACACTCTAGGTACCGCAACGGTAAATTTATTTGATACAGATTACGAATTTCACGTTATGAGTCCAGAATCGCCAATAAACAATGTATGCATTTTAAGAGATCCGTTCTTTACACAAGAAAACGCTAGAATCGATTATAAATTAAATGCATTAATAGTCAAAAGTAGACCAATTAAACCTATATATTTTTAATACGGAGATAATAAACTTAACTCTATAAAATTGATTTAGAAAACAAGAGGAACCCTTACGATTGAAAACCAAACTAATTTTCGAATCAACTTGTAAAAAATTAATTTTTGTATTTCACGATGAAGATAAAATACCCACTTTTCCACGAAATACTATTTTTTATAATTCTCAAAGATTTTAAGTAAATAAAAACCGAAGTTTTAATTTACCAGCCAGAACAATAGCAGCTATTAAATTACTGACTAGAAACAAGATCACTGGCCATGCGTATCTTCGTAGAATTACTACCGTACCCGAAGTATATATAGGCGAGGCGGTAGTAGATTGCAAAGAAGGTCACTGTTTTACAATAGCTATAAACACAAGAAATTTGCTAATAAAAATAAGAATACTTGCGTATGAACTTGAGCCTTTTGATGTCATGGAATCTAAAGACTTTTTCGACACTGACTCTGAAGAAAATGAACTAAACAATATAAAAGATCGCGTTGAGTTTATAATGGATAAGCTTAAAAGATCTCATAACTCAAAAGCTAGTCCAACCGAAATAAGAAAAATTGTAGAAAAATACGGTAACTTATATCACATTCTAGGCGACCCGGCTTCTTATACTTCTATTACGACACATAAAATACCTATGACAGATAACCACTCTGAATATGACAAACAATACCGCTACCCCTTATCAATACACCAAGAAATTAAAACTGAAATAAAAAAATTATTGGTGGATGGTACAATCATACAATCAAACAGCCCTAATAGTTGTCCTCTCCTGATAGCACCAAATAAACAAGGACCTGATAAAACATAAAGATACAGATTAGTAATAGGTTACCGTAAACTAAGCAAAAAAACCATCCCTGATGCTTATCCACTACCAATCAATTTTATGTTTTTAGGATTAGCGAACTATTACCGTCGTTTTGTGAAAAATTTTGCAGAAATTGCATAGCCTTTAACGCCCTTATTAGGGTAAGAAAAAAAACTTTAATGTACCGATACTCAGCAAAAAATCTTTGAAGAGTTAAGGAGAATATTATGCAAAGCACTTGTGTTAGCTTGCGTCGATTTAAATAAGCCATTCATATTAACAACTGACGCATCTTATATAGCTACTGAGGTAGTATTGAGACAAGAAGAAACAGGAAGCGACCGCCCGATTTCGTATATGTTAAAAACTCTAAATAAGGCTGAAAGAAACTATTTTATAACGGAAGAAGAATGCTTAGCAGTAGTTGTAGCAGTCCAATATTTTTGACATTACTTATATGGCAGGAAATTTACGGTTTACGGAGATCATGAACCACTATCCTGGATTGAGTTCATCAAAGACCCTATGAGTAGGCTTAATAGTTGGAGAGCAACACTTCGAGGTTATAGCTATACTTTTTTTTTTCTTTCATATTACAGTGTACAAACCTCTGAGAGGTATGTACACTATAGCTATACTTATAAGTACAAACCTGGTAGACTAAATACAAACGCGGACGTCTTATCAAGAAATCCAATAGAATGGAATGAAGACGAAAGTTATAAAGATAGTTTCTTGGATGAAGAAATATCACTAAAAGCTTGTTTGATACCTATAAAACCTAAACAACCTAAAACTTCGATAGCTCGCCAAAATATGTCAAAAACCAATCAATCTCATTCTGATACCATTGACAGCATACAATCAGCACCTAAAGTAAGAAAAAATAAGCCTAGAAATACACTATTAAAAGTACTTCGGGGTATGGGAGGTGGACAGGGTGAATTAAATGCACCTACAATAGCGGAAAGATTGAAAGCTGTGACGTGGCAAAATTTGCTTCACAATTTTGCACGTCACTGTCGACGCCCCTATTCTGAAACCAATTCGTGTTCTTAATGGGATCCTCGCATAACAGAAATTTTCGTGTGTTTTAGAAATGACCAACAGTAAGCCTGAGAAGGAGACACACACCTAGACCAGAAGTGTAGCGTGCGTACGAGTGAATGTGATGATGTAAGTGTCGAAGCGTTGGCACGTAAGAATGATCCGGAAAATAAGGTAGGGACCAGGTAGGTAGGTCAAAAGATAGTTGACCTACCGAGCAACGAGTTGGGGACGGACGCGACTGATGAGTTCAGTGGATGTGAGACCACCGAACGCAAAGGTAGGAGAGAGTACGTAGATCGAGAGAGCCGAGAGTATAGCGAGTATTTAGTGCGAGAGAGAGAGAGAGAGAGAGAGAGCGAGTGAGAAAGTGAGCGGGAAGAAGGACCTGGAAAAATAAGCCTGATCCCGACCCATCCGACCCTGAACGGCGGCCATCTTGAGACGAAGCGTCCTCTCGTGACGACCCGAGCCGAGCCCGAGGTGAGAGGTGTACCGGACAGCTGGCGAGAGAGGCCCAGGTATCACACAGCGTCGACTTCCTGGACTGCGACCCTCGACGCTCATGGTGGACTGGTCTTACTGTAAGGAAGCACGGGATTCGCCAAGGTACAGTGTGTAGGTTACGCGGGGACGTGGGTGAGATCGTCGGCTATAGCGATAGACGTGAGAGCAGGAGCGGAAGGATCGGGGCATGGGGCAGTGATTTTTGCGTGCCACGGTCGGACCTCCGTCGAGACGTGAGGACGAACGCGTCGGACAAGTGTAGGAGGGAGGGGCAGGAACCGAAAGAGAGAGAGAGAGGAAGAAAAGGGCGCGTGAGACCGAGAGCGAGTGAGTAGTCGCATAGCCGTGGTGTAAGGGCAGGACGGATCGAGAGCCGGCGTCGGGACGCTGTGAGTTGTGATGCGTGTTTGTGACTCTCTCCGGTCGCAACGGCAATCCACGCCCGGGACCTATAAGTTACGCCGAGTGTGAGTGTGGAGGTATGTAGGTACGGACAGGCAATCACAACGAGGGGACCTGGTCCCAGACCGAGTGTAGTGTGAGAGGGGAAGTGGGTGTAAAGGCGCGTGAGCAGACTAGCGTGGCTCTCTGAGCGCACCACTGGCGTTGTGGTGGCGATTGAGGGCTTGCGCCGTAGCATGGGGATCGAGAGGAGTGTACGTGAAGTGATTGTAGATAGTGGTTGTGTTTGTTTCAATAAATCTATAAAATTAAGTCAACATCGCCTTTTGTTGTTCATTTGCTCAGACGCGAATCCCCTTTTGAGACAGGTCCAGTGAAGGGGCGAGTAGGGAGAGCGTTGTTGAGCAGAGACGTACGAGAGAGAATAATTTCGATATTTTCTCTCCAATGGTAAGTCACCTTGGGCAATGTAAAATATACGTTATAAAGCGAGACGAAGAAAAGAAGCACCAAGAGCTCAAATACAAGACTGGTCATCCAAACCCGACACTACGTCTAAGTCACAGTTTAGTGACTTACAATCCGACGCGCCAGCACCATTACAAGAACAATCACTTATGCCAAGCCTAATAAATGCACTTGAAGAAGAGACCCCACAGGATACAGTGGAAAGTTGAAGTGACGAAAATTCGGAAATCAGTAAAATTGAAAAAATAATCGAAAAAAATTCAAGTTTTTCACCAAGACGAACTAATATTCCAATCAAACCCAGTACATCCCAAGCCAATGACATTACTAAAAAAATCTGTAACATTTTAACAAGATGAAGACTCTTCTTTTTCTGATAAAGAAATTTTAAATTTAATTGCAATAAAACTAAAATTTTTCCCTACTTTTTGATTCTGCGTACAAGATCAAGTAAACAATACAAAAAAAAATAAAAAACAATTATCTAATTTAAGAAATAACACTTACAATAATAAAGATTGCGACAAAGAAAGATTTACTGCTGAATGGAATCAAAACTTAGTATGGTGGGATGGTTACGATAAGAAAATTGAAATACCAATTAACAGCATTCTTGGTGAAATACAATCTTTACTGACGTCCCCTACGGAACGTCATGACGGCAGTTACTTGAATCAAGAACAAATAAATTCATTTCTATCGTTACCTCAAAATTTAATTCCTCCTACTATTGTAAATGAATGGATCGATAAAACAATGATCGACTTTATTGCAAACGGAAATCCCATAAGAGCAAAACTCCAATTAAATCACTCAGAAATAGTCCTACCAAAAATAAATTACAAAACTCTAATAATGAACTATACAAAAAAAGTTTATCACCTATAGAACAAAATAGTAATGAAGAAAGAGACGACAACCACTTTTAATCGGAAAACATAGGAAATAAAATTGATTCCAATACCAAGAAAACTTCCAATCAAAATATTTTACTACAAACAAGCCATACAGCAGCGTTAGAACCCATACCGTAAAATTGTAGCTTAGCTCGTAGAGAAAAATTAACAAGAAATATAAGTACTGTCAAAAATTCCTCTAATATAACTTATGAAACAAATAAATCAACACTTTAAGAACTTGTAAAAATTTAACTTACACAAAGGATAACTAAATCCATTTTATTTCTGAAACTGTTTATTTGAAATCAATAAACAACAAACTATTATTAGATACAGGGGCTATATCAAAAGAAGAATTATTAGATGTTCAACCAAAATTGGCAGACGATATTACTATGAAAAACCAAAATCGCTACATATTTTCACTAGTCGTGAACAAAAACTATACTGATGAAATAGAACGTAGCATTTTACGAACCTGCTTTAAAAATCTTGCAGATGCAATATCAGTAAAGGAAGTTATCACTGCTCGTATTTCTAGGAAAGGTGAACTCACTGATAATCTCCCTAGAGTAGAAATGTCATCAATTTTATACGAAGAATTACGTCACCTCTCCTTTACAGTAAAAATTTGTTTTGGTGCATGTTCTTATCTAATCCTAGAAGATAGAAAGGAAAAATTAGTTAAATATCATACTAGCTTATTTAGAGGTCATAGAGGAGTAGTAAAAGCTTATAGAGGAATAAGAGAAAAATATTATTGGAAAGGAATGTGCAACGACATTGCTGAAAACATACAAAAATATAAAATTTGCCAGGAACAAAAATTAGTCTACACAAAAACTAGAGAACCTATGGTAACTATAGACACACCATCAGAAGTATTTTACAAGGTCACAGTAGATACAGTAGGCCCTTACCTACAAAGTACATGTGAAAATAAGCACATTTTAACAATGCAATTCTTACTTATGAAATTTTTTAATTGCAGTTCCTGTTCCTAATATACAAGCAATAACTATTGCTGATGTGTAATCAAGATATTTTATTTTAACTTTTGACATTCCTAGAACACTTCTCAGTGACAGATCAAAAAGTTCCACTAATCAAGTATTGACAGAAGTATCAAAAACTTATGAATTCCGTTTAGCTCTCACTAGTGCATATTACCTACAATTAAATGGTTCGTTAGAGAGAAGTCATGCTATGTTAAACGATTTCTCGAGAACTAACGCTAAAAACAGAAATTATTGGAATAAAATGGTTCCTTTTAAAATGCATGAGTATATTACCTTATTTCATTCAGCAACGAACTTTACACCTTTTAAACTTGTCTTTGGTAGGCATTTACGTTTTCCAATTCCACTTCCAGAAAAATTCAAATTAGAAACATACAGCTCATATGCTAGTGACCTTGCCCGCTGTTTACGTACAGTATAAAAAATAGCTCGTGACAGACTTAAAGTATCAAAACAAAATACAAAAACATGTTATGACAATAAGTTAAAGCCACAGAACTTGAAAGTTGGAATGACAGTCTATGTACTTAAAGAACCCCGGAAAGGAGAATTAGATATATTTTACAATGAAATTTTTAAAATTAAAGAAATACATAGTAATAATAACGTCATATGAGAATCAGAAAATGGAAGAATAATTAACAAACACGTGGACAAAGTAAAACGTTGCTACCTATAAAAAAGAAAAAAAAATTTAATTTTTGTTACAGATTGATCCAATCAATATGTGGACTCAAAACTTTGTCTTTCTGCTTCTGCCAGCATGAAGGCCTAATATAATAAAAAGTAAGGAAGAGATACCTGTAAGACCTTACGACAACATGATTTTAGTAAATAATCCAGGCATATATTATGAATACACTAACGAAGTCAGACTAATTCGCACCGAATGGAACGTTACTATTACGTTAGATTTTCGTAGCATTGAAGACCAAACTGAACTATACCATAAACAGCTAGATACTGTATTTGAACAGTGTACTAGAGTACTTGGAAATCAAGAGTGCGAAAATTTAATACCAAGATACAGGTTAAAAAATATGATTCATTTAACAAAATCAACA